GAAAGGTTGCGAAAAGGCCAACAAAGACCAAAAAGAAAACCGATAGACAAAGAGAACTATTGGAACAACTCCCATTGGCTAACATAACCAAAGGCGTGTTTGGATAGATGGAAATCCGACTTACTGGAAATTTTCAAGTACTTTTTATTATTAATACCTTCCCTCAGGCGGCTCCTCTATGGACCCCCTACCTTGCATTTTAGTGTGGTGATCCAGGTTTATCCGAGATTCTCACTTGATACAAGATTATGCTCGTTGGAGAGGAGAGCAGTCGTTTAACCAGGTTCCCCTTCACCGCGGCCAAACAACTTCTGTGATTTCTGAACTCTTTCAGTGTTTAGATGGCCCAGTCACATACTACATTCTGATCTTAGTAAGTTTTGAAAACTTATCTGGGGTCAGCAATTTCACTGGCGGTTCGAGATCCTCTGGCTCAGGTGTTATCATCGAACTTTAGACTATGTCAGATGAGTCCGAAAGCCGGATTCACGCAATTCTTGGTGTCTGGAGGAGCTGTCAAAAATAAAATTTGACGGTGTACAACCCTTGGCAAGGATAAAAAGAGAACAGGGACTTACCTAAAACGGGAAGGGTGATAATATTCGTATAATCAGTACGGTAGATGAGTACCAGAGTCCATGAAAGACAGTGAGAACACTAGCATTTCTAGCGTAAGTTTGTTTTAGTCCTCCAGTGAGGTGGTGGAAGAGACGCTTAACATGAAATAGGCAAATTAGGGGCATGTAAACGGGTGGAAAATAGAGAACCTAAGGTTGTTGGGTGAAGAAGATGGCATTAGAAAAAAGTAACCTTAACCCTTGCCCTAGTCTTTAACCCAACCCGAACCTCAGACCGTACCTGCATTCGCTCCTTGAACATTTGATTAAGCTAACTCTGAAACGTAGCCCTATTAGTACATATCTACCTTGATCATCTGAGCGAGCTTTCATGGCAATAGAAACTAAGGACTTGCATATTAGATCATCGCTACGTCTTCTTCCATGAAACTTCTGTCTCTACGGGAAGTTGGAGGAATTTCACCTGTATCAATTGGCAGTAACTATTAGTTCGTGAGCCCTCCCAATTCACTGACCCGTTGAAATGAAATGAGCGGGTCATTAAACTTGACAGTACACAGAGTTTGGGCAGGTTGCTCAACATCATGCTCAATTTTATCGATGCAACTAGCAGACATCTCTGTTGGATAGGTGATCTTGCGCCGAATTCAATGGGTCACCTTTCCCTGTGTCGATAACTAACATTTGCCTCAGTTATAAGCGTACCTCCAACCATAGTCTAACTTTGACCCTTATGACAATCCATTACCTTCGGCGAAACACCATTGTGATGTCTATTCCCATCCCCTACCAACCTCCCTTTTTATCCAGTTGGCACCCCTCGTGATAAAGTCTGATAAGCGAAGAGACTGTTTTGCCCATTTTATGGATGTGAATGTTCCGCGGTGATAATAAGTCGTCTGCTTATCGTCGACGGCAAAGCTCCACTATTTTCATCACCGTAAGACAGCTACTTATTTGATTTAGGTAGGCATATTATACCGAGATGTGCGTCTGATTGACCGAGTATTTTGGGATTGGGGTTTACGTTTAGGATTGGGTTATTAGGCTATTGCAAAGAGCAGGAACTAAGTTAGATGGCTTCCTTCATGATAAACATTGTTAAGAGAAGGGGCTGTTCTCCTGAATTCTGTTTTGCCTCCATTTTAGGGATATGAGTGGTCCACGGTAATGAATGAATGTCTGCTTATCGACGGCTGCAGAGATCCGAAGACGGGTCAGCATATGTGTTCACGGAACGGCACACAACGCTGTATATCCATGTCCGCTAATCTCGCCAGAGAGGACCTAGATTTGCCTACGGCCGCGTTAAGTCTTCCCTACGCCTGCATTTGCTACCCGGGGTACATGGGCTATCGATGTGAGAGCCGTCGAGACGCCTGTATAGAGGTAGGTCGCAGTCCATTTTGTTGAAGCTTTTGGACATACCGCCTAACGAAAGCAGTCGTATTCATATCTTATCAGTTTTTTCTAATATGTAAACTTACTAAATGCATTTTCACTCCTGGTCTCTGACCAGACCTCTTAATAGAGCTCCTGCACGGAGCGCCATGCAACAATGGTTACTTCTGACCACTCCTTTTGAAGGGATATAATAGATGGAAGTCCAGCAAGTGTGCAGTCGTGTATGTGGCACATTATCAAAAGTTCCCACCGAACTAATGGCATAATCAGCATTTACTAATAGTAAGTGAGTAGGCATTTGTGTTTACTTGTTCTGTTTAGCCAGCGGCTGCTCGCTGTGCGCCTGTAAGTACAGTAGCCGCCGAAGACCATGCAACGCTAATTATGAAATTTGCCTGGACAATTTGACATATTTGAAAACACTATTGTGATTCATTCAGTTTATTGAATTCTGCAAAAGCTTATTTGAAAACACTATTGTGATTCATTCAGTTTATTGAATTCTGCAAAAGCCTTGAAAACACTACTGTGATTCATTCAGTTTATTGAATTCTGCAAAAGCCTTTTACTTAGTTAAATCGTCATTTTAGTTAGGTTTATTAAGAGAAATAAACTTGTTAATTTTGGGGAAATTGGGAGCAGTCTCATATCGAAGGAATTTCCTATGCTAATTTTGGGGAAATTGGGAGTAGTCTCATATGGAAGGAATTTCCTATGCTATTCAGAACCAAACTGCACGTTAATGTTGATAATACTAAGAAGGAACTCCAAAATAAGATCAATAGGTACAGAAGATATCTCTTCCAGAACTGGAAAAGTTTATAAAAAATTGTTCATATTGAAGTGAAGCCAAGTTAAAGGAACCAAATTTGTTTTAATAGGTACAGAAAAGTTTATACAAAATTGTTCAGATTGAAGTGAAGCCAAGTTAAAGGAA